TAAAAGTCAGTGAACACGGCATGGGCCGGCAGGCCAGGAATCGGTTATACCAAGAGCCCAAGAGCTCGGTATGAGGCGAGAATACCTATTGGGGAAAATATCCGGGGTAATGATTGGTGTGGTACTGTGCAGCAATGAGTGCATGCACAAGGGTCTGCATTGGGAAGCAGCGAACTGGTATTGCCAGGAGCGCGGGTGGGGGTGAGATGGCAATCGCTGGGCAAAGCTCGGGAGAAGGAGGGGGGAAGGTTAGAGTGAGTGTACAAGGCGGGGATTGGAATATGAGATATAACGTAGGGGACGAGGGTGTGGGAAAGGAGTGGTTAGGTCGACAGGGATGGACTCGCTATTTCCAGGAGCTTGACTGCATGCGACATTGGGAAACGTGAGAAGGGATCGGTTTGGTATTGGGTCGATGCCACGCAGACGAGAGGTAAGAAGTCTGTGTGTAGCCAGGAGCTCGGCAGGAACTCAAAGGGGACTGTGGGAGATGGGTCGCCCAGGGGTTGGGTTGGTGATGAGCGATGGTACGCCGGTGTGATTGAGAGTGAATAGGCACGGGGTGTGAGGCACGCAATAGACCAGGAGATTGGCTTGAAAGGAGACGCGGGAGAAGGGTTGTGGAATGCATACGGTTGGCGAGAAGGGATGGCATTCAGATTGAGTGTGCGAGTGAACAAGGCGTGTGTTGGGAAGCAAGGAAACACTTTAGCCAGAAGATCGGTTACACGCGACATGGCAGGGTTGGGAGCAGGGTCGGGGAAGGGACTCGCTTTGCGTCGACGAGTGCCACACAGGTAAAAATGAGTGAATACGTCATACGAGAGGTGGCAAGGAACCGATCTAGTCGTGGGCACAAGATTCATGGCCGAGCAGGTTCAGGGAAGGGACTGGGTAGGGGATGAGGAGTACCATGCAGGTGAGAGTATGTGAAATTGGCATGGATGGATCAAGCAGCAAGCGCTCGGTCTCGGGAAAAGCGTGAGATGGCTGCTTGGGGGGCAAGGATTCAGCGCTGATCGGCACGAGTATGACCGGAGAAGGGATGTGCTTGGTATGGCGAAGAGCGATGCCTCCCCGGGGAGAGTGAGGGAACAGAGGGCTGTCAGTTCGGCAAGCAATCGGTGTAGTCAGCACCTTAGCTGGATCCGAGATAGCATGGCGGGAGAAGCGTTGGGGAAGAAATTGGTTTGGCGATGAGAGATGCCACCGCAATGACAACAATGGAACAAGGCAGGGTCTGGGGTGTAAGGAGTCGGCCTAGTTATAGACACGACATGGTATGGTGCGAGATTTGGTGGCAAGTGAAGTTTGTTGGTTGGCAACGAGCGTCGCCACACAGGTAGCAATGAGGATGTGAGGCTGGGTTAGCAGGCAAAATATTTCGTCGAGTCATGAGCTCGGTCGGGATGGCGAGGACGGATGTCACGCGGCTGATAGTGAGTGAAGAAAGGCATGGGTAAGGAGCCAAGGAACTGGGTTTTCCAGGAGTTCGGCCAGTAGGGTGGACCATGGTGAGCGAAGGAGGTGGTGTGGCGATGAGTGATGTCACGTAGGAGTGAATGAGTAAATATCGTCCGGGTTGACTGTCAAGAAATCGGTGTAGCCAGGAGATCGGGTGGTGGGCAAACGGAGTTGTGAATGAGTGGAAACGTCGTTTGATGGAAGGCGAGCACTCGATGTTGAGCAAGGAGGTCCGCCGATGATTGCCTGATGTTATGGCGGGAGAAGGGTCGGAGAAGGGCTTCGTTTGGCGAGGAACGATTCGACGTGGGTGAAACGGAGTGAACAACGCTGGGAGTGGGATGCAAGGAATCGGAGTCATTCGCAGCTCGGCGGGGCGCAAGACGATCAATTTAGTGGAAGCGGAGTCGGAGTGAGTGCGGAAGGCATGCAATTGGTTTAGCAAGGATCCTGACTGGACGTTAGACGGCCGCCCGGCAGAAGGACGGTGAAGAAGGGGATCTGGTCGCCGAGAAGGGATGTCACGCAGATTTAGTGCGAGTGAACAAGGCAAGTGTTCGGAGACAAAAATCAACAATCCGCTGTAGCCAGCGGCTCCGCTGCCACAAGCTGGCACGGTCTGTGGGGGTGGTTGGTTGGTAAGGAGGGGTTGCCTCATCGGCGACACCGAGTGAATATACCATGGGGTGGGACGCAATCACTCAGTCTAGACAGGACCCGTTGGTGCATGCGATGTTGGCCGGAAAAGGATTGGGGAAGGAGATAATTCGGCCGGGAGGGATGCCGTTGAGATGAGAGAATGTGTACGTGGCATGGGTTGGACGGCAAGCAATCGGTCGAGATATAGATGGGAGAGGTCACGGCGGGAGAAGGATCGGGAAACGACTTTAGTTGGCAAATGCAGGGACGCCACGCGAGTCAGTGTGAGTGACAAGGCGTGGGTTAAAGGACAGGCTATTGGGGTAAGTCGGACCTCGGCTGGACGCGAGATGGCATGGTGTGACAAGGGTCGAGTAACGGTTTGGGTTTGGAGGGAGGAACGAACGATACGACAGAGGGTAGAGTGAGTGAAGAAGGCGTGGGTCTGGAGGCAAGGCATGGACGGCGGCAGGAACTCGGCTGGACGCGAGATGGCACAGAGGGTGAAGGACCGGGAGAGGGGTTTGAGTGACGATGGTAGAGTGGGTGGACAAGGCATGGATTGGGAACCTTCGGCTTAGCGAGAAGCCCTGGGGGTCGCCGAATGGTATGGCGGGAGAAGAGTCGGGGACGGGTTGTGTTTGACGACGAGAATGTGAGAGTGAGCGAATCAGGCGAGAATCGGGGGGCTTGGAATCGGAGTAGCAAGGCGGTCGGGGGGACGCCAGGTTGCACTACGAGAGAACGTTTCGGGAAGGAGCCGTACCTCGCGCAGCTGGGTGTGAGTGGATTGCTGTCCGGAGAAGGAAGTGTGGAACCGGCGTAGCCAGGAATCCGGCTGGACACGAGATGGAGCGGTGGGAGAAGGGTCGGGGCATGGAGTGGCGGCGAGGAGCGATATCGGGTGCGGTTCGAGTGCATGTAAGGGGTGTGCATTGGATGGCAAGGGATCGGTGTAGGCAAGAGCCCAGCCGGGCGCAAGATGGCATGGTATGAGAAGCGAAGGCGAAGGTATTTGCTTCGCGTCAAGCGATGTCGGTTGAAGCCAAACCGGTGGGCTGGAACGAATTTGGCTTGGGGTGGGGAACAAGAGATCGATGCAGCCAGGTGCATGGACTTGTGTGTTGTGGGGGAGGGCGAGGAAACGCCTGGGCGGTTGCAAACACAGACGTTGTGAGCAGCCAAGCAGATGTTGGACGGAACTTAGCTTGGAGCCGGGAGAATGGGGATGGGTGTAGCCTGGACCTCGGACGGTATGATAGGGGGGAGGGCGGCCAATTTCTGGGTTGGCGTTGGGAGAGGTCTGGTACTGCTGGAAAGGGATGGAGGACTATGTCGGGGTGAAGGACAAGCGATCGGTGTAACGACGAGCTCGGATAGAGGCGAGAAGGTTTCAGGATGTGAGAGTCAACCGCCTGCCGAACCAGATATGAATCTCTCTCAGCGCCAGATGCCAGATGCTCTTCAACATTTCTACATTGACATCGGCTGCTTCAGTGGTAGCTCTCTAACCTTTGCGGATGTTTGGGGCGCAAGTTCGACTCTGGGCGCAAAGTGAAACGATCGGGGTGTTGTCTCATAAATGCCCGGACAAACCATTCACTTGTAGGGAACCCCGAGCAGAATACCGTATATGACACAAGATAACACACCCCCTGGCCCGATTTTCAAAACTCGATTACTCGGTGACGAAGAGGATACATAAACGAAATGATACATTTTCGAAAAGCTCTCAACGAGGCGGTTCCAACGCCGCCGTTTTCGGCGCTGTGAGTCTTCCTGCTGTTGAGAAATAGAGCTTTGAAAATCGGTCAAGGGGGTGTGTTATCTTGTGTCATATACGGTAGTAATGCCGCCTTGCCCTCAGAATACGCGCGGCGGGAGCCCCCGTTTCCCACGAGACCGGGTTCCCACGTAAGAGCATGAACACGTGACAAGCCTAAGCAAGCACCGTTGTGGGGGGAGAGATTGAACCCTGGGTAGGGAGGGAACGTGTAGGCTAATGCGCGTGATCACGGTCCTCTTGGCCAACATCGGTGCAAAATCCTGATCGGCCGAAAGCATTGCCCGGAGGACAGAGTCAAAATTAGCAACGACAAGAACACACGCTATATGTGTTCATCTTCCGTTGAAACCAAGCGAAACTTCAGATGAGTCAAGCGTACCTTCGATGGAAAGGGCGAAATTCATTCTTTGAAACCAAGCGAAACTTCAGATGAGTCAAGCGTACTTTCGATGGAAAGGGCGAAATTCATTCTCTTAAGCGCGTTTCCAGGACTTCCGTGGTACTGCTTCCAGGCCGAAACCCAATTGGAAGCTCTTCCTCCGTGGAGAACTAAATACACACATTACGCATTAATTGCTTTTTTAGTGGGTGCCCCCCCCCACAAAAAATGAAAAACCGTCGGTCCCCCCGCGCCCCTCTCGCGAATAAACGTCGCAGTCAATGTAATCATCCTTCCGCGTGGAACGAAAGGAAGCGTAGAGAATTCGAGAATCCTATGCCAGGCTCCACGTAGAAACGGCAGGACGGGGTATTGTCTGTTCCGGGGCGGCTTTCCATCAGCAAGAAACATACCGAGGATCCTGGGCAGGAGACCGGTAAGGCGGGTTCGTTGTGCGTGTGTGTACCCGTTGGGCTATTGGGTGTTCCTTGTCTTTGATGATATTTGGCTGCTGGTAACGCGTACACTCTTTATTTTTCTGGAAAGTGATGCGCATGGAGAACAAAGGGACAAATCTACAGATAGACGATCATGCGGTCCCCGATGTCACCCATGTACAACGATTGCGTGCAGCAACCGAATAGCACTCACCCAGGCACGTCGCCACTCCTCCACCAGAAGCGCTGCTAACACCAACAGCATCGTTTCTGTCGGTGAAGAACTGCAACGTGTATGTGGATTGTTTCTGGGCGGAATATGTGTTGCGGTCCGCATCGGTTTGCAGCAGCAGCAATCGAACGAACGGAAGAACGAACGGCAACAATCTCTCCGAACCTGTTCACCAGGTGAGCATGTACATCAAAGCAGACGTGATGGGACGCGTAATTCTAGCTCTTCCCTGGTGGCGATCCCTGTGGTGCGGTCGGCCCTCTGCCCCCCGGATGAGATCACAACACTATCCATCTCACACCTACAGAGCACACCTGCTGTGCTCTTGAGAGTGACCCCAGCCAAACAGTGGCCATATTCTCCTGCACCAGAACCTACCCCACTGCGGTAAGTATGCATCTTCCCAAGGTGCTGCTGTACGGCATTCTTGCCTTCCTCGCCTGCGCGATACCGGGCATCCAAGCTAGACCCTTCGGCGACGGACCTACGTGGATCCGGTCGTGCGACGACATCCCCGCCGAGGCTACCTTGGCCGGAACCACGCTCACCATCCTCTCGTCAATCGACTGTGGCGCCAACCCGAAGGTGAGAGATGAGATCTTCTTTGATCCTCCTCGATGACATGTTCTTTGGAACTTCGGCGAGGTTAATCTCAACAACAGCTACTGCTGTTGTAGAGCAGCAGTGGTCTCAAGACTTGGGAGCATTTTGGAGACAGAAAAAAAGAGAGTGGTGTGTGTGGGCAGGTCGTCGTTGACAAGCGAGCGTCGTTGGCCTATCTGTATGATCCCGGGGTCCAGTTGCTAGGTAGGCACCGGCACTGGCTCTGCTGCGAAGCGAAGCGCCCGCCACCAAGATCCTCCTTCTCGGTGCTTGCTGCCTGAGCGCAGGCCGGACCTGCATGTAGAGTAGCTTCTTTTTCCGAAACTCATCGCCGGGTTGACTTCGACATCGTTTCGAAAAATGAAAAAATGAGACCACACGTATGTGGTGCGTACAAGGAGCACCCCGCTTCCGCATCATCCGCTGACTCCCATCATACCGCGTGGTTGAGATCCACGATGCTATCCTAGCCTATCATATGTTGCCGTCATGGATCCATCCCTCCCCATCTTCCAGTTGAATGAGAGGTGAGTACATATGTCCACCTTGCATGCGCCCCAAGGTTTTTCCATGGCCATCATCCATCCGTGTGCACTTCCCATATTTGTGGCCGTTGGATATATAGTCTATATGCACTCATTTCATCATCTTGTTTTCTTCAACGCGCGCGAATGTTTTCTCAGCTAGAATAGCTGCTTGGATGGGATATATACCTATTCGCTTGCAAGAAATGCAGGATGATCCTCTCCGGTGCCTCGCGAAAGTTAGGGGTCGAGATGGGCAGCACGAAAAACGCTGATGAAGGAAGATCAAAATCTATATCGAATATATGCTGTAGAGCGAAGATAGACTACGGCCAAATATATAAGTTCAGCACGCACCGCAGGAGGAAGGTGGGGCACGAAAACTAAAATAAAAAGAAGAAAAAAGCCCGGTGTTTACCCTGACCCTGGATGGTTGGTTGGAGTTGTACGAAAAAATCAACTGAAAAGCGTTGTACTCTTACAACACTGAAAAGCGTAATACACGTCTCACCACGAAATTATTCAGTAGGGGGACTGTCGCCAAAATAAAAGGACGAAAATAAAAAAACAAAAAATGTATATACATGACATGTAGTCTGAGGGGAAAACGCGGAATATCATGTTCTTTGTCATGGGTATTACTCGTTGCATTTTCGCCAACACGGTCTCGCTCTTCCTTCTGTACGTCCCAACAATTTTGTCTCACTCAGACCCGTCATTTTTTGTGTTTGACGTACGTACACAGACGATCGTCGTTACCGGTGACACGGTGGTGCGCTCCCATGCCCCGATGAACACCATGGGCGTTGCCCTCAAGGTCCACCCCGGGGCCAAGTTGACGATCTGCGCGCCGACGGTCATGATGAAGAGGAGGGAGGCAAGTGCACATCAATATGAACAAGTCGAAACTACTTCTACAATATTACTGAAAACCCATCCCATCATGTACTTTGTTGTCAATAATTTCTGGTGTAGATTTAAGGTACATAGTCTACAGCCTACGTTTCATCGTGGTGTTCCTTTCAGCTGTAAATTTCAATGAAGGCAACCTCCCCCCCCCCGTGCGCGCGCGCGCGCCGCTGTTGCCCCATTTCAAACATCGTTCGACTAAAGATGGACAACCAGCCGATCCTTCGGGCCTTCGGAAGCATCCACTTTGAAGTGACCAGGTGGCTCCCCGAGCACCTCGATGGCACGCTGGTGAGCACAAAGAGCGATGATTGAACAACCTGCCAAAGATTTCGCCGCCCATGTGTTCGGTATTTTGCCTTGAGTACCCCCCTCCTCCCACGATGCTGTCCCAACACTTGCCGAAAAAACTAAGTTGACCATGCTGAGGCAAGACGTAGTCTCACTCGCCCCGGTGTATTTGGTCCCGGGATTATATGTTTGTTTGGTTCTCTGCGCGTGTACGCGAAGCATGTTGTCATCGAAACACTCGCGTCGCCTGGAAACAACTCGATGGTACACTTCGTATAGCCAAAATAAGTTGTTGGTGTTTAGATGTTTAGGTGACCTCTGCGCATGACCGTTCTTGCATCATCTTTGCCTTACTTGAGAGAAGAAAGGGTATGCATACGATACGTACCTTTTCGTCGTCTTCATCATCATCAGCAGCAGCAGCAGCAACAACGATATCTCTGACCTCTGCTGCTGCTGATTCTGCGGCTGCTATTTGGTTGTCGCACATGCGCAGATGGACAAGCACGGGGTTGTGGCCTTCGAGGGCCAAGGGTCCCTAGAATCGCGAAACACCATTAGGTACACGGCCACGTCTGTCGTGGTGGCCGACCCTGCGGCCGCAGACCAGGTACTACACGCGTTGTTATCTTCGTATTCTGAAGGAGATACACACATACATGTTGGTTGAGTTTCGGGGGTAACCTCTTTCTCAGGCTCGAGCTCCTTGCGGCGGGTAGGTCATGATCAACTCTGGCGGTGTTGCAAGTATGCAGTAGTTCACGAGGGAGGGTTGTTTCTATTGTTGATTTTTCATTGACCGTGGTAGCGCTTGCGAAATGCTCGGGCCCGTCTTCGGAACACGTCGCTCCTTCCAAGTAGCGGCACTCCTCCGTAACTTGTTCCACGCACATCTTGTCCAGGAGGATTCAGCGAAAGATTCAAAATGCAAATTCTCACCTGCCCCTAGCCACCACCTCCTGGCGCGCACGCTCCCTCGACAAGAACATGTTGCAGGAAGTTGACCCTGTACGGCTGTTCGCATGACGAAGTCGCTGACTCCCTCGTTCTCATTCTACGCCTTCCAACGTTGCACGCACATCGAAACAACCAACAACAGAATGAGGCCAACCTTACGGCGACGAGCATGCCTACCGACCCTGAGCTTCGCAGGAGGCTGGACATCCGCCACGCCAAGAGCAACAGGGAACGCGACTCCGCCGCCGCCGCTGCCAAGGACATGTCGACGACCAACACGGCCCCTACCGCTACCGTCGGAGAAGTCGCCGACGACAAGTCCTCCTCCTCCGCCACCACCGCCCCTAACCGCGCCGAGGCGTTCTCCACTGTTGCTGATCCCAACGACAACGATGATGGCGACAAGACCGCCGCTACATCCGAGGCCACACCCGCTTCATCTACTGCCACCGCTACACCTGCAACGCCTGCGACAAGAACTGCTGCCGACCCGAGCACTCGGGCGGACGTTGGCAACAACCCCGCTTCCGGTGCGTCGATGGCCGAGTTCATGACGGGCAAGGCCCGTGAGGCTCGCGCCGTCAACGACCACGGCAAGAAGGCCGGCGCCGGTGGCGGGGGCGAAGTTTCTTCGCCGATTCCCGTTTCGAATTCTTGGACCACCAAGAAGAAGGCACACCAGCACAGGCAGCAGCAACAGCAGCAGCAGCAGGAGGACCGGCGCCACAACAACGACGACAACAACAACAACAACAACAACAACAACAACAACAACAACAACAACAACAACAACAACAACCACTACAGCAACGGCAACACCAACGGCAACTCGTTCTCCCCGCCCGACGAGTTCCACGACGAGAACGTCTTGCGGGCCGGAAGATTTCTGTTCGGGAAACTTATGAGCCCGGGCAAGAAGGCCATGATTTACGTCTCGCCCAACTCCAGCTCCGTCGTTCACGCCTCGTCCGCCGGAAAGGCGACCCGGGACGAGGAAGGGCGAAAGATCGGTCCCGTGCCGCAGAAACTGAAGACTGTTATCACCCCCAACGAGCAGCAGATGTCCAAGATCGAGAGGAACCGTTCCGAAATCTGGGCGCAGAGGTTGGAGAGAGGTAAGGCTGCCCGCGAGGGCGGCGAACTCAAGAGGTCAAAGATGGCCGCCATCACGGGCGTTCTGCCGTTTGGCAAGAACGGCTTCCGCCGGAGGCGAGAGCGCGAGCACGCCGAGGCCCACCTGATGGAGGCCACGCTGAAGCTCACCAACAGAGGGAACTTGGTGCGTTGGAGGGCAGCAAAGAGACTTTAAGCTGTGGAGTGTCAAGGGTATTCCGGTAGGATGTTTTGTGGTAGGTTGGGATCGATCCCCACGTCTATGATTTGGTTCAAACGGGCGGAACTGTTGTCTTTTTTTTTGCAAACTGCACCCTGAAGTATCCCCCCCCGGTCAACTATAGATAGATATTGTCCTCCTCGCATTCTGGAACGCTTGATCGGAGGTAGAAGTAAAAAAAATGGAGTGGTTGCAGAAATCCTACATGTAGGCAGGCACAAAAAATCTCCCCCCTCAAAAAATCTGCAGAACACCATCTCCCTAAACACTACCCCCCCCTCAACAATATTCAACTGCGCAGGAGGTTTCCATCGACGGCACAATTGTGCAGCGCAAATCCCGGCCATCTTGGTTCGGGTTCTTGAGGAGGAAAGACCCTTCGTACAAGCTGCTCGTCACGAAGGAAGGGATCGAGATTTATCGACGAGGGAAACTTGACTGGGTCATCAAGGCCGAGGACATTTTCTAGGATGTGGTCCCCACCATGATTTTTCTCGTTGTTCTCTCGGTCATCCCAGTGGGGACCGTGCGCTTCGCCCCCAAGATTGTATTTTCTCTGGGCATTTACTCAGTGGACATGTGCAGTTTCTCGAACGATGTTACTTTTAGGAAGGGCAACGGAGATCCGTACTGTAGATCAAAGAAGCTTTCGTGAAGTTATCCTTGTGAGCCTAGCAGCGTTGTTCGGCAATGCCTTCCTTTCAACACCGAGGAGGAGGACGAGGTGATGGCGTGCTCGTGTGATTCCGGCCCGGGTTCGATTCTGTTTATTTTTTTGTACTTGGTTCGTGGCGTTGTTGCTGCTTCATGATCGCTTCTTTTCGTTTGCATGTCAACATAGTTTCCGGATTTTGCGACCGGACAGTTACACTTGGTGGCGGAGACTATATTATCGTCATGATGAAGTGGATGCTCTGCGCTCCCTGAGTTCCAAAATGTACCAACGGCAATCAATCATTGTTTGACCTCGCGACTTGATGGGGTTGGATTCAGCGACGTTGTTCGGTTCCCTGGTCTGGCGCGAACTTTCTTTCTCGCCAGCCGCACACAGGGATTGGTTGTAGGGTCGGCTTTGCCTGTTGCCAAGCGCAATCTTTGGGCGTTCTCTAGACCACGGTTTTATTTCGCTGCCTCGAAACTGTTTGCCGTCTTTGCACATGGGGTGATAAGGAGGAAGGGGTGGATTGTTTTCCGCATTTTACGTATATGTCGCGTGCCTGGTCAGGTGTTTGTCCGTTGCGGTTCCCTCGAGGCACACTTAGCATGTGTGTGTGTTATTTTACATAAATTTGTTGTTTTGGAGAGTTTTGGACGACAGGTCGTCTGTCTCCCTCATGTATCGTTTTTTATCCTACCAGCTCTCCTTGTCCTTGTAGCGCCCTCCTTTCAGCACGGAGGTCATGGTGCTTGTGTGATTCCTTCCGGCCCTTTTGTTTCCTTCATTACACTGTCTTCCAGTCTCTGGGCAGTCCAGTACGTGATTGGATTGTTGGCCGTTGCAAGGGTAAGATTCTACATTAAACCACTGACGGCCAGTGCAGCCAAACGTGTTCCGCGCTGCGACAAACATGTGTACCAGTTGGGCTCGAGGCAGCATTGCCCGAAGAGTCGTGAGAGAGGTGTCCCGTGGGACCAAGGTTTGCCTCGCCCTCTGTATCCCTGAGGACCGGGGAGCGGTGTTGCAGCCCTTGACGGCAATGACGCTCCTTTGTGTTTGAAGACAGGAAAGTGGTGAACAGAGGACACGGAGGAAACGCATTCTATTGCACAACTGAACTTCTTGCGAAATATACCAAGGAGACAAGCGCCGCAGAGGGGAGGGGAAGAGAAACAACAAGGTTTCTGGTGTGGCCTTCTTCCTCCTATTACGTCATCCTGGCTCGTGCCTCTATGAAAATCACACCAACAGGTGAACACAAACACAACCAAGTATTGTAGTGCCGCAGCGACCGAACCAAGAATAAACGCCGCACCGCCACCGTCGCCGAGCACCCACCCTCACGGCAGCACGACCGCCATCCTCGTCGCCACACAACAACGACACTCGCTACGCGTAGACGCACGTCTACGCTATACGGCAACACTCGCCCAAACACCGCCCAATAAAGAAAACAAGAAATAACTCCTGGCGGACCAAACATCCCGAACACAGAGACCAGACTACGTAGACCAACCAGAATAAGTCCGCAAAGCACAACACCGCTTTCCTTAAAAATCCGGAGCGGGAGTTGGGAGAAAGCGGGGCGTGTCGTTCTTCGACGCAGGTGGTTGACAATCTCCAACTTTTACTTTACATGTACTGTATAGGCAGCACCGGTAGGATCTCCTGACTTCACCAACCCAGCTTTCAGAGCGACACAACTCAACGATCTCATCACACGTCTACAACACCATCCCAAAATCGCCGAAACCCCTTAGACATATATCAAGAGAACACAACGCACCGCACGCCCCAACAAAGAGAAAATAATATCACAGCCACGGCGCCCAGCCTGGGTAGAGCTTGCACAAGTTTTCCGGATCCCTCGCCTGGTTGATGAGCAGCTTCACCTGCCCCTCCACGCTCATCGCGTCCCCGTTCGGGTCCACGTACCCCTGCAGCTTGTGCTTGATCCTCGCCAGCGCCCGCTGGGCAGCGTCCCCGCCGACCCCGGCGTCTTCCCCCGCCACCGCCACCATCGCCGCCGCCGCCTCCTCCGCCGCCGCCCCGTCGCCGCCGACCTTCTCCTCCTCCTGCTGCCGCTGCCGCGCGGCGAGCGGGGACAGCATCCACCGGTAGAGGGGGTCGTGCAGCAGGACCTCGAGGATGGTGAGGACGCTGGGGGCGTCGGAGCGGAGCACGCGCATGGCGGCGTCGCAAGCCCGTCGGAACGCGCCCTCCGTGCCGGTGACGCCCATGCCGTCGACGACGTCGCGGGTGAGGCGGAACGGCACCGTCTCCGGCGTAGACAGCGCCTTGCCCTGCTCGAAGGTGACACCGAAGTCGATGTGGACCACCTCGGCGGTACGTTGGTGCACCAGGATGTTGTGCGCGTGCCGGTCGCCGATGCCGAGGACGTAGCCGACGATCGAGCTCACCGCCGCGCTCCTGCCGTGGCGTGGCGCACGCACGAACGCACGCACGCACGTATGCGAAAATAATGTTAAAGCGGGGGTCGAAGAAACGAGGAGTTGAGAGTGTTGTTTTGCTATGGCATTCATATTAAGGGCGCCGGGGGTCGAAGATTCCACAAGTTAAAGAGGGTTGTCCTGCTATGGCAGTAATTGCGGTCCCTTGAGAAAAAGGGCGGAAAAACCTACAACACCAAGTACGCCAAGAAGGGTTAGTGTAGGCAGTCCCATGCGACGGGGCCGCCGCTTGGGAGCACTCAATCCCTCTCAGGCCGAACAACAACAATGACGGCGCCTATAACGACAACATGCAAGATACGAACACCCAGCCAGTGCCCTCCCGCACAGCAGAGAGGGCCACACCACATCACGACACCCTCGTCTAGAACAGTACTGCTGTACCTGGTGAAGGTGAGCCTGCTGTTATACCACGCGAACGGCTCCGGAAAGTTCTCGAGGAAGAAGAAGCGGAAGGCAGGGTGGAAGTTGTCCTCGACCTCCTTGTACCCCTTGCGTTTGTCCACCGCGTTCTTGAGGTGCGTCCGGCACTTGGCATGGAGCCTATGTAAGCAAACAATTGCGACAACAACCATGAAAAAAAGGGGGGGCAAAAGGCACGGTGGTATTTGCTTGGGGAAAAAGGGGGTCCGTCTGAGCCAAACCACAAAACATAAAACACCCGCACACAGAATTCAACATCAGTCTACCAAACGTCATCTCGAAATATCATCAACCAATCTCAAATCACAAACAAAACAGCGAACCAAACGCCATCCCCCTCACCAGTCCTTCGGGAAGTAACGTCGGTGGGCGCCCGCCCTGCCCGACCCCCGATCGGTGAGGTAGGACCCGAAGGGCATCGTGTCCTCCACCCACTCCAGCACTCCCGAGTCCGGCGAGAGGGGCACGATCGTGTACGTGAAGACACGCAGCCGACGCTTGCGGGCGGCGGGGTCTTCCCTCAGGAAAGTGTTCACCGTCGCAAACACCTGTTCATCGATTGTAGTAGTCACGGCATTGACGTGGGGCGGGGGGGGGGGTTGCGGTGCAGAACGAACGCTGTGAGCGCTCTTTAACAGTCAGGAACAAAACAATGGTCAATACTTCAAGAGGAGGGCGGGAGACCTTTCGTGCGGGATCAAATATGAGACGCAGGTCGCTGAAGGCAACAAGACAACCCGTCCTCGCCTGCGAAGGCAACAACAACGTTCAATCATGGAGTGGTAGTCGAAACAACCGTCTCCTCGCCTGCTCCATGACCGCGTCCTGCCGGATGTCGTCCGCGCCCTTGACCAGCTGCCGGTAGCGGTGCCCAGTGGAATCGTCGCAGTGCACGATCTTCGGGCGGTGAATGCCGCTGACGGTGAATGAAGGCACCCACAGACACATCACCAACCGCAAGCAGCGTGAACGTGTCCACGAAAGGGACAGGGACGAGAAAGGGCAACGAGAGGCAGAGGGGGCACAGGCAGTCACGCACACAACAAAGGACGAAACTACCAGCAGAGAAAAAAGACAGAAACGGTAGATATTTGTCTAAAACTTATCCATCGGCGTGTTCTCTCATTGGTCCATCGGGTAACTTAGAGCGGTCGATGCTTGCTACTAGACCGGAAAAAAACACACGTACACTACGCACACAAATACATACCCAAACGTGTGTACACAGCATACACTGACACAACACACTAAGCAACAACGGAGGAAACTAAAAAAAAAAAAAAAAACTCGGGAAAAACTAAACCATACAAAAAAAAAAAACGGAAAAAAACAGACCTGTCCGTGATGGAAAAAGAGTTCTGGAAGCCCGCTATCGTCGGCGTTCCCCGATAGTCCGCGTCCGGCCTCACCGCCGGGGGCCTCGTCACGACCCCCGGCATGACTCTCCCACCGCCGCTGCTCTCGCTGCTCCCTCTACCCCGAGAACCCGCCGCCAGACCCGAGCCTCGATCGCGCAGGCAGCGGTCTAGCGTGGGCTTGCCCTTGGGCACGGCTTCGGCGAAGGTGATCCCGCCCGTCTTCTTGTTGTGGAACTTGGTGGTGTTTACCTGCGAAACAAAACAAAAAAAAAGGCAGGGTTGGGTGTTTGTCGGGAGAACCGGGCAGACAAGCAAGGCCGACCCGCCAAAAAAAGAATCAAACAAGATGACATCATAGCGAAATGAGAAGGAGTGTCGACACTGTAAGGTACGTGCTGACCCCCCCTCGCGTGGCCAGAAACAAGCAGACAGGAAATTAACAAGAACGGTCGGCGAAAAGGAACAACAGACACAGGTTGGCGCAAATCGACGACATACACCAACATACAAGACAGCAAAAAAAAAAGCCTGAAAAAATCAAAATACATCATAATAAAAATAAAAAAAGAGGCGGATTTCGCCGTCGCTGCACACGCGTACTGCTGTACCCACCCACCATGGCCAGGTCGATGTACGCCTCCGCTAGTCGCTCCAGCCCCGACACGAGGGCGGGCATGCTGGACAGTGAAGCCGCCGGCCCGGCACCCCCAACCGCCGCTGTAGAAGACCCTGGTGCGTCGACTTTCTTGAGCCCATCCACGAGCCCCCTCGCCGCCTGGATCTTCTCGGTGGAAACGTTCTGCTTGAACTGCGGTGCGGTGGGGTTCGTACGGTCGTGGTGAGCGTTCGGGGTGGTACATATGTAGTTTCAAAGATTTTGCCCACGATCAAAGGAAAACCATCAATCGAGTACACAGCATGCACGCACACGAGAGTCAACCCTCCCCAAAAAATATGATTCTCGCCTGCGTGGCCCCCCCGCCGCTGACATTCTCCCCGTTGGCCAGGGCCAGCAGCTGCAGGAGGGAATGGTGTGGGTGCTCGAGGCAGAGTCTTCGGATGAGGCCGTGCACGCAGGCACGGAACCTCGGGTCGTCCGCCGACCCCACCCGGCTCGAGATCTGGTACGTCAGGGGGATGAACTTGTAGCTCGGCACCTGGTGGGAGAGAGCGTGGCAGGGGAGGTGGAATGGGGGTGTACTCATCTAAACGCATACCGTAGTTGCTAGACCTAGATCTCGCATCCCTACAATGCCTGGAGTATCTGTGAAGTCGGCGTGGGGGGTCTTGATCGAGAATTGGTACGTCAGGGGGGTTGAGCTTGGAACAGCAACTCGGCATCCGAGAGGGAACACACAACAGAGCACGATATGCAATGTAGGGCAGAACAGACACCGGGGGGAGGATGCCGATGTTTCCAGGGAAATGTGATACAAAAGAAGCAGTTCAAATTCTGGTCCAGCTTGGGAGGGAGGGAGGGAGGTGTTCTTCCATGGAAAATGTGGTGTCTGTGCTGGTGCCTGCCAAGAGTCCGGCTCTTTCACGTCATGTTCTATCTGCCCCTCTCTCTGTCTCTGTCTCTGTCTGTCTGTCTGTCTGTCTGTCTGTCTGTCTCTGTCTCTGTCTCTGTCTCTGTCTCTCTCTGTCTCTCTCTCTCTCTCTCTCTCTCTCTCTCTCTCTTACCGTGCGAGTGATCTCCTTCATCTCCTCGTCCACTGTTTGATCCGTCTGGTTGTTGAACCACAACGATACCACCGCGAACACGGCTCGCAGGTCGGGCTCCCTGCTGGCCGCGAGCGCCTTGCCGTAGTTCCGCAGGGCACTGGTGAGAAAATTTCCCTGTCATATTTGGGGGTGCAGCAGTACGTTGGGGTGTGCGAAGGGAGAGAGAGAGAGAGAGAGAGAGAGAGAGAGAGAGAGAGAGAGAGAGAGAGAGAGAGAGAGAGAGAGAGAGGACAACGGAGGGCGATGGCGGCGAAAACCGCGGTTGAGAACAGGGTCAACACGGACGAAACACGCGCGGGTACGAAAAAAAGAAGAAAATAATGGGCGAGTAGAGGGCGCGGATGTTGTCGCGCGCTGACTTTTTCTCGTTTTTCGAGACGTTTTCGCTGCAGACTACGCGAACACCATGTACCTGAACGTAGCACTCTGATCTTAATCAGGACGCCCGAAAACAAAAACGTTGTCGCCGGAGAAGTTTGATGAGGAATGCGAAGTGAGGGACCCGCCAGGGGGCACCGTGGATGAACAAACGGCCGATGGTTGGGGGGGGGGGGCTAGGGGACGATTGGACAAACCCAACAAAATAAAGCGAGAGGTCGAACCGAGGAAAGTCGCGGCGTTAAACTACCCACCACTAACGAGGGTGGCCCAGCTTTGTGCTCTTGCATCCTCCAAAAATTACTCCAAAACTCGGCTAACTCACCACCGACTTCTCAACGCCGGCCCGCTCCTCCCGATCGAGGTTATCCTCCTTGCGGAGAGTGGCGGCGTAGCGGTAGAGGTTCGTGTAGTCTCCGTCCACACCCAGGGTTTTGCGGCCGGACCGCTTCATCTCGTTCAGCTTCATGTGCGTGGGGGGGGGGGGGGGGGAGAAAAAAACGACAAAAAAAAAAAGGAGCACAACGTAGGGACAGAGCCAACTGATACACTTCGGGATCGGGGGTAAACAGGGCGTCATATCGACTGCGTAGTCTCGGTAAGTTGGAACAACGGGGGACTATCGCGGGCCGAAGGAGTCGCCACACCACCGCGCTGTGCACACTAGAGTTGGGGGGGGCGGGGAGGGGGACTTAGACATCAGGAATCGCGTGGCCGTTAGGAAGGGAACACACAGGGAACACATTACTCGGATCGATGCCAATGAAATACGCAGAAATACATGTTATATCGAACGTGGCACCTGTCTCCCCACCCAGCTCCTGCCCCCTCTTCTTTCATGCCCCCCCCCCTCCCCCCATCTTGCAAGTGTCACTGCACTCAACACCGAACAGCACAAGAACTTCAAACCTGCTTAAGGCAAGACGACAGCTCCCGCGCCCTGCTCTCCGACACCCGCCCCGCCGCCCGCCACTCCGGGCTCTCCACGCGCCCCTTCACGGAGGTGTACAGGCCCGCCAGGTACTCCGCGAGCGTGAAGTGCGCGGCGCAAAGCAGCCGCCTCGCGCCGCCCCCTCCCCACCCGACACCGAAGGCGCGACTGCCATCACCATCACCATCACCATCACCATCATCATCCCCGTGATCGGCGGCGCCGCCGCCGCCGGGGGCGGCTAACGCCGCCCCGCCGCCGGCTAGCGCGGCCTCGACCGCGGGGTTGAGGTAGGACTCGAGGATCTCCCGGCTGCTCTCGCTCTTGGTCTTGGAGACCCACGCCCCCGTTAAGCGCAGCGCCTGGAAGGGAAGCGGCAGCAACGAACGTTCGTTCTATCGTTCGTTCGTTCTATCGTTCGTTCTATCGTTCGTGCACTACCATAGTAGCTCGATTGGTTAACGGCGCACACGCGCACGTTCGGCAGGCATGGCTGGCACTCATACAACGATCCCCAACAACAAAGCGCTCTTTACACGTATGTGAATATCCCCCAAGCGCGTAACTCCCGCACCAAGAGCACCCACCACACACACACACACACACACACACACCTCCGACAAAAGACGCTGTTCTTCATGCCCCTCCCCACCACCACCGCCAACGCGAGCCCTTAGGCGCGTCGCCACCGCCCGCGCCGCCCGCAGGGCGGAGTCGGTCTCCCCCTTCCCCCACGACACGCGGGCCTCCGCTAGGCGGCACCGCATGGCCTCGGAGGCTCGGTCCTCGGGTCGAAGGGCTTGGTGAGACGACGACGACGACGACGGTGGAGGGGTGGCAATGACGTCCGCGCGGCTGACTTTCAGGAAACGGTGAAGTGCACCCTGGAAAAACAAGGAAGAATATGCGCAGGGGGGGGGGGGTACAGTAGTCATGCTCAGCAGCTGTTTGACCACCAGTCGTACTCGAGGGACGGAGCGCTGCTCCCACAGCACCGATCACCGGTGGCCAAATCGTTGCTTCCAAGGGGGAGTAGTTCGAAGTTGGGGTATTCGCTCCTTATCAGAAGTAGTGTTACTGTCTTGTTGCTGTTGTTGATATCTTCCTTCTTCTCGGTTGATCGTGGTCGTGCA